CCCCTCGGCTTATACTCGAGTCACCAATTTTTCCCAGTTCTTTGCCGAAAAATAGGTCCCTCGGCTTATAGTCGGGTCGACTTATACTCGAGTATATACGGTATGTGAAACAAAGACATTTTGAATTTGCAAATAAACCAGGGAGATGGTTGGCATATAAATTAAGGAACGAAAGGGAAAAGTGTATGAGTGAGAAAATTTGTGAAGGGGATAAGGTAATAACTGATAATGAACTTGTTAAAAAGACTTTCCATAATTTTTATTCTAACTTGTATAAAAAACAGGAGTTAGATAGGTCTAAAATAGATTAATATCTTTTAAGACAAAGGTTATCTAAGTTATCACACTCCCAGAGGCAACTTGTGAATGACCTAATAAGTCTTCGAAATATCAGAAGCTATTAAAAAATGAAACAGGTAAAGCTCCAGGACCAGATGGCCTTACAAGTCTATACTATAAGTCAGGCATGTCAAATTCGCGACGTCAAGTGACGTCGCGCGACGTATCGCGACTTTTTCCCCATTGCCGGCAATGGGGTGGGCGCAGTTTCGTTGTGATCCATTTGGCCCATAGGCCAGCAGTTTGACATGCCTGCTATAAGTGCTTCGAGGAGAAATTTCTACAGCCACTAAAAGACATAATGAATGATATACTTCAGGAGGGAAGGATACCCCAAACATGGAAAGAAGCCAATATTGTGTTATTACTGAAGGAGGATCAAGATCCTACAAAGACAAAGATTTATAGACCAATTTCACTACTGAACAATGACTATAAACTCTTTGCTGCAATTTTGGCAGAAAGACTATAAAGAAGATTTTACATGAAGATTTTTCATGAAGACCAATTTGGCTTTCTGCCAAAGACAGTTAAGGGATAATGTGAGGACTGTTCTGAATACCACTGAATACTTACAATACCACAATGAGAAACAGCTTTAATATTCCTAGATGCAGAGAAGGCCTTTGACAATTTAAATTCGGCTTTCATGTTTAAAGTTCTGGAAGAAGTGGACTTTGGAGAGAGCTTAATTCAAGTAGTTAAAACTATTTACACGTCGCAGCAAGCAAAAATTGTTATTAATGGTGATTTAACTGATCCATGCGACATTCAAAAGGGTATGAGACAAGGATGCCTCTTGTCTCCCTTGTTGTTTATTCTGGTGTTGGAAGTTTTGAATAGAGACATTAGACAAGATCAGAGAATAATGGGTATAAATATCAAGAAAGTTTACAAATTGAGGGCATTTGCTGATGACTTGGTTATATTCCTACAGGACCCCAAAAATAAGATAGAATATATGTTGAGAAAATTAAATGAGTTTGGGGTTCTAGCAGGTTTTAAAATAAATAAACAGAAAACAACAATGTTGATCAAGAATATGTCCTCCCAGGATGGTGATATATTGAACAAAAGGTCTGGTTTCAAGGTTGAGAAAAAGGTGAGATATTTGGGGGTTATGCTAACAAATACAAACACAAAATTGTTTCAAAATAATTATGTACCTCTTTGGAATGATATAAAAAAGGATTTACAGAGATAGGACAAATTACATTTACCATTACTGGGCAGAATTTCAGTAATTAAAATGAATGCTTTACCAAAGATGCTATTTCTGTTCCAGACAATACCAATACTTGCAACGGACATTCCATTTAAACAGTGGCAGAGGGATATCTCTAAATTCATATGTCAAGGAAAGAAACCAACAATCAAATATACGTTTTTGCAAGATGCCAAGGAAAGAGGGGGTCTGGGTTTACCAGATTTGAAATTGTATTTTGATGCATGCTGTTTGGTTTGGTTAAAAGAGTGGGTGAACCTTCAGAATAAGAGGCTGCTCGGTTTGGAAGGCCATGATTTAAGATTTGGATGGCATGAGTATTTATGGTACGATAAAGTTAAAGTAAATGTTGATTTTAATAATCACTTTATTAGACATGCCATATTAAGAGTTTGGAATAAATATAAAACAAGGTTTTTTATGAAATTGCCCCTATGGGTGTCCCCCTCCCCAAGAAGCTTTTTTTAGTAAAGAAATGGTGAAACTGGACTGGTGGACATATGATAAAATAGTATCTTTCAATTCTGGAGACCCCATCCTCAAGTCTAGGGAAGAATTAGAATTAGAAGGTTACCCTTGTCACTGGTTTACATATCAACAAATGAAGGAAAGATTTAAATTAGACAGAAAAGGCTATGGTTTTGAGTTCGTTAAAAATGAATTGGAAATCCTACTATGTGGTAATGATGATCATATAATTGCCAAGGTCTATAAAATGTTATTAAAAGTGAACTTGGAAAATGAACATGTATGATTCAGTGGGCAAGGAATTTTGGATATAATGTGATGATTGAACAATGGGAGAATATGTGGATAAAAAGTTTTAAAATTCACATTGAATTATAACCTAAAAGAAAATTTCTATAAAATGATGTATTGCTGGTATTTAACACCAGATAAGTTATCTAGAATGTATAAAGGTATTTCAAATAAATGTTGGAAATGTAAATGTAAAGAAGGGACTTTTTATCATTTATGGTGGACATGTGATAAGGCAAAGAAATATTGGAGTAGGATTCATATATTAATGGAAAAAATTCTTAAAGTAAACATGAAGATTAAACCAGAAACTTTCCTTCTGGGCCTAATAGAAAGAGAACTGGAAAAAAACATTGGAATTCTTATTTTATATATGGTGACGGCAGCAAGACTGTTCTATGCACAAAAGTGGAAGGATGCATCAATTCCTACCATGGACGAATGGTTATAAAAACTGATGGAAGAGATGGCCAAATTGACTGTGCTGATTAAAGAAAAAAACACAAGTACTCTTGTTTTTACTTGGAAACTGCTTCTGGACTTTGTGCTTGAAGTGAAAAAAAATGATATCATGATTTTGGGTTTTATCAATTAGACTGATTTGCCACACAAAATAGCGAGCACCCAGTTTCTTGTGATCCTTTCAGTCCAGATTAGATTTATGGAAGGAGATGGAAAGATTAGGTTACTGTCATTATTTGCCTACGGTGACATTAGATTATCACACATGAAGCCAGATGAGAAGACTATTATTTAAAATTAAATTTATGCAAAATACTACATTAATTAGCTTAAAAATCCAGAAAAAGATTTTAATAACTATCACTTTGGTTTTTTTTCTCATTTAATAGTAAAGAGGAAACATTGACAACGGCTGATAAAGACATTTGGATTAATCCCAGAATCTCAGGTAGAAAGTCTCAATCAATTCAGCCTTCTGTAGTTTGTGTTATAATTTTTGTAAAGCATCTAGGTGAATATTATTCAATAATTCATTTTTTTAGATTCAGACATCCCTCAAATCATTTATTCACATGTGGATAATGAAAATAAACACAGAAAAGAAAATGAAGAAGAAAAAAATGATGACTGTAATGAAGATGACAAAGAAAATGAGAAAGAATTGGAGTTGCTGGTAAGCTTTCAGAATCTTTTACAGCAGCATTCCCCAACCTTTCTGGGTTGGCAGCCCAGCATGGGAGGGGAGGGGGAAGGGATAGTTTTGTGTGATGGGCAGGCTCATGCGAGTGGAGCTACAAGCGCTAGTGCCCGCCGCTCATGTGAGTGGGGCTGTGTGTGGCATGTGCATGGCAGACCACTACTCCTGTGGCCCAGTTGCGAATAGGCCATGGCCCGGTAATGGGCCGCTACTAATGATGGGATTCAGCCAAACCAGTAGCTAAATTTTGTTGAGTTCGGAGAACTGGCTGAATGCACACTGCTTTCAGAAGTCTGTTCTAGGCCTGGGAGGCTGGAGGAGGCCTCCCAGGCCTAGAATGGCCCACTGGAAGTGCAGGGATGCCACTTCCGAAAGAACATTCTAGGCCTTGGAAGCCTGGAGGAGGCTTCCTAGGCCTAGAATGGCCCGCTGGAAGTGCGGGGATGCCACTTCCGGAAGTCCTTTCTAAGTCTCGGAGGCCCAGGCCTGCATCCACGCAGAGAACCAGTTGTTCAGGGATTTGAAACTCACCACTGGCTGCTGCTGACAGGTTGGGAGCCCCTATTTTACAGAACAATCTCAAGAAAGAAACTGCTATGACTTTAAGGTATTCTAAAACCTTTTCAGCTGCATATCAAAATGCTGGATGTAGAATCAAACAACATTCTCTGTTCTTTTATTTTCTAAAATAAACAAATATTTCTTTCTGTTACAAACAATGAACATTTATTTAGACCAACCAAAATTTTGATAAAACTTTTCCAGGGGAGACACGAGAAAGCTAGTGGAATTTTCTTCAATTGAATAAAAAAGAATTCTTCAGATTATTATTCTCTCTCCTTCTGCCCCATCTCTGGCCTCTTATTGACTAACCTGTGGACATTTTTCTGTGGACATTTTTAAGTTGGACATAACTTCTTATTGAGTTTTAGAAGTATAAAATTCAAAAACCAGCAATAAAAAATCAGCAGGGATTTGATATTGGATATAGCTGACAGACTATTATGTCTATCATCTCAAACTATATACCCTGGTGTGTTTCCTCAGCAACCAAAGGATTGCAGTCTTCTTACTGAGGAAGGTTGAGGAATGGTAGCTCATAGTGCATGAACTGCATACAGGCTTGACATTTGTTTGGAAAAAAATAATATCACTGATTTTTTTATAAGTTTTCAATCATTTTTCTTCAAAAAAAAACAACAACTGAAAATTGTTCAGATTTAACATATCAAGAATGCTGTCACTAATCTCCATATCTCCAAATTCAACCCTCATTCTTAGAAATCATGGCCCTGTCTACATTGATGACAGATTACTGTGTTGACTACATGGTATTCAACCATCCAAAATAATTTTAAAAAAGAACAAAACTTTGTTCACTTCTGTTAGACAATATTATTATATATTGCACAACAGGAAGGTTTTTCTCTACTTCAACAGTGGTGATACATATACTACATAATTTGCCAATGCTATGTTACTAACAGAGTATGATTAAAGGATGTAGGATGTTTTGAAACAGTTTGTTTTGTTATCTTTCATTTAACAACTTATTTCTCTTTTTTATCATAGGATATAAGGAATAATTTGAAAACAATAGAATAATAATAACTTAAATTCTTATTTTTCTGATTTCTATTATTGCATTTTTTTCTTTTTTTTCTAGTTCTACTTATAGTTCTACTTATAACTAATGGCTACTCAGTAGTGATTGTTTGTAAGCTCATGAAAGAGCAAAAGCAATGATGTTGCGAGTGAATCTTTTTAGCATTTGATAATTGCATAAAATACATTTTAATGTGGCACCAGATGTATAGATTGATTTTAAAAAATTGCTCCTTGTCCAGAATTGATTTTGAAAAGAATAATAGCAGGGAAAGTCATGTTATTGTTTTTAAACTCAAAAATTGCACCTGACCACAGATACCACCTTCCAGATGTAAAACACATATTCCTAATATTGACTAAATCACATTGATTTTATAAAAAAATATATGCATATTAAACATTATTTTTAACCTCAATGCCACTTATATTGCACAAATGTTATTCAGCGGGTTAACCTGCATTTTATGAGAAGAAAAATAGCATAGCTATACATATACAACTAAATAAGCAGGAAATATAATGCTATTTGTGAGTGAAAACATAAAATCTGAAATACACAAAAGGACACGCTAAACATTAGAACCACATAGCCATTTTGGGTAGAGAGTAAGACAATTCTTCAGACAAAAGCCCAAAGCTATCTTAGCTCTAACTTTAGGAGAGTTCAAAGTTGTCATTCAGAATGGAGCTTTTATTGCCAGAATAATCAGCACTGAAATATTATTATTTTTTATAAAAGTCACAGCATTTCCCAATACAAGACTTAAGTATATAGATTTTTAAAAAATCTATATACCTGGTCAAAGCTCAACCCATTCATTTTATGTGCTGCATAATGAATTAAACAATAGAGGTCTATAATAAATGGAAATACGACCAAATCTTTGAGACCCATAGGCAATGGCTCACATGACAGCTCGGCAGTTGACAAGTAACATCAGCCTTATGTGAAAAGGGGAAATTGTAAGATTTGCATATAATTATTGAAATCATGCAAATGTCAGTTATAAGGAGGGAGATGGGGTGGGGTGGGGTGGGGTGGGAAGAAACAGGCATCTCACTATTAAATCCTGACAGTTGGCATCACTGAAAAGCTCAGATACATTTGAGGACTAGTTGGCAGAGGGTCATTAAAATAGAATTTGCAAAAACATTAGTCCCTTCACTTTTCTTTGACTGACGTTTTACTATTAATAGTTTGCAGAGGCTTTGCACAAAACATATTAATAAGAGAAAATGTAATAGGGTATCTGCAGCAAGTGTAACTGTAATAAGGGGGTATCCAAGTTGCTACCTTCTAATTGATTGGTATAGAACCATCCATCTATGCATTTGAAAGCAAGAGAAGAATGCCATAAGGAGCAAATGCTGTTGAATAATATAATTTAATATTGGGGTGATACTGAAGAAATTTCTTTGTGGCTTTTCCTAATTTTTAGTTTCTGCAGTTTCTAAAACATTCCTGTCTGAGGGGTCCTGGGAGAAATGAAACAAACATAATCCTTATAGTATTTGTCAATGTGCAAATGTGTTTTATTTTACTGGACAATACTGTACATTCTTAGCTTTGATGTTTTGTGTCACTGCACTCACTTTAAAATAAAACATGCCTAGAATGGAATGTGCTCTCTGAATGAATTAGCTTGCCTTGTACAGAATTTTCTCTTCAGGATTCATTTCTATGAAACATACTTGAAACTTACTGAGCTCATGAATAAACAGGCAAAGATGGGGAGAGATATAAAGAAGAAAAATGGAATTTTATTTTTTGCCTCTTATGTTTGTTTGTTGCCCTTTGGGTCTGTGTGTGCATGCACATGTGCTTAAAATGCAATATTCATTTTGTAACCAGCTTGGAAGCTTGCTTTCTGAAACTAGGTTTTATTGGAAAAAAGATCTTTCTTGAATTGAACCCCTTTTCACGCGTGTGTGTATGTGTATATGCATGTGGGCATATAGTTTATTTACACACACATTCACACATATTTTCACTCTTTTTTATTCTATTGTTTCAGCTAAGTCAGCACTTCACTAGAAGCAGAAGTTCTATGAATGAAAGGAGTTCCTATGCAACTGAGCCAATTAGATTTCCAAATGAACCACAACAACTGGGGGACAAACTAGAGTCTGGCTTGATTAGACAACCTCTGACTAAAAGCTCTTCAACAGAACATGCTTTACAAGACAAAGAACTGCAGAATAATAAAACATGTTCCATTGGAAATGATAGGCAGTTATTATTCCCAGAAAAATGCAGTGAGGACTCACTAAACAAAACTGTAGAGTCCTTAGAGAGTTTGAATCCAAAAGAAACCTATGTCTCACCAGAATATTGGTCTGAATTCAAGAAAAACCAGACTGCCTATATTGCAGACATTGTCTCAAGCACTTGTGGAATGGATCAAGCAGATGTTCCAAGTGATGAATTTAATAATGTCCAAGGAATTAAAACAATAGAGACATTATTCATAGGTGAGGATGATTATAACTTTAAAAAATCAAGGGAGACAAATTCCTTAGAAGATGATGAAGCAGGGAAGTTAAAAGAAAATGCATTGAAAAGAAAGGATAATAATATCAAGGCAGTTCAGAAACAACTTAAGCAGGAAATAGCTTTCCAAATTCCAGAGTTAAATTCAAAAAACCTCATCAGACATGAACCCCAAAGAGAAAAAATTGAAAGCAAAAACCAATTATGTGTAAACAGAGGTTTAAATAGTGATGTCACAGCTAATGCTGATGTCACAGAAAATTATTTGGTAAGGTCTCATTCAGAAGACATTGTAGAAGAAAAATATAACTCTGAGTATAATGTTGATAAGGAGAAAGAAATCATGCTGAGAATTTTAGAGAACTCTCCAGAAAAACAAATCTGTCTTATCAACAAATATGGAAAACCTGTCTCGTGTGACAATTATGAAATCAACAGGCTAGCTAAGTCACCTCAAAGGGAAGAAGTAATGACTTCCAGTGTCCCAGATGAAATAAAAGAAGAGCAAATGCCAAAATCAATAGGGTTTCCATATCTAAGTGACAGTGGAAACTCAGATAAAAATAAACCGGAAAGCATTATAGAGGAGTCAAATCATGACTCAAAAAGAGAAAGTTCATAATACTCTTTGGGAAAGTCAGTCCCATGTTGTACCACCAATTGATAAAAATATCTTTATGAAATCTATATTAATAAGCACAAAGGAAATGTCTGATAGCAGAAACAACTTAGAAAAAAGGAAGTACAGCCAGAATGATGATCCTGCCAACAGAAATATTTCCGAGATAGAACGCTGCCAAAGTGAACCTGACATGGTTATTCTCAAAGATCAGAATACCTGGGACAGATCGATCATTCAAAGGTGGAGTGGTTCAGAAATTCAGTTGGTAGAAAGGCAAAGTGAAGCCAATAAAAGAGTGCAGATGAAGGAACTAACAGGAGTTGAAGCCATGGGGGGTATTAATGATAATACAAGATGTTTGAAAGTAAGTCCCACAGATGAACTGTTTACTTGCCAAGGCACACTAAGATATGAAGATACTTCAGTCACTAAGCATGATAGTACAGGAGAAGCAAAAGCAGTTACAGCTGCTTATATAATTAAAATGACATCAGAAAATATTTCTGAAAAAATGTCTGCTGGTGAAAAAGCAGTAATTGTTAAGCTACCCCAAGAGACGGCACTAAGTGACAGGCCCACAGAGAAAAAGGAAATGGTATTTGATATACATGAAGGAAGAAATGATGGGTCACATTATCCTCTTTGTCAATGCAATAGAGAGGGTGTATTATGTGACACCAAATTTGGAATATCTGCTTCAGGTATTAATAATGTGCCCACACATGAAACAGTACATATGGAAATGATTTCAATACATGAAACAAATGAAATGCTTGCCAAAGCAGAACATAATTCTGTAAATAATTCACCATCCACTGAAATATTTTTTCCTTTTTCAGCAGAAGGAAAAATTGTTTCTGAACAAGGTGTGCATTGTGAAGTACCATTGAAACATTCAGAACATTCTTCGCAAGGCTTACACAAAAATGAAGCTGAAGAAGGAAACACCTGGAGTTCATTTTCTTACATAGGTCCCACAACTGAACCAAAAATATGCAGTTTGGATAAAAAATTGGTGGGAAGCTGTTATGAAAACTCCTCAGTGATATCTCCCAAAGGATTTGTAGGGTCTCATACTGCTAAAGTAGAAGAGATGTTGCCTCCACCCACAGATGCTTCAACTGAAATTGCAGCTCGTTCTGGATATAACTTCAACCCAAAAGGTGAAATAACTCATGTTATTCTAAATATCACTAAACCCCAAGAATTTCCTCCTAGTGAGAATAGAGAAGGAAACATAGGTCACTTTTCCCATCAAACAGAGTTCAGTCCAGAAAAACAAATAAGGCCTACTATTTTAATAAGGGAACCGATTGAAGAAAGAAAAGAAACAAGCTTAGATTCAAAAGGTTTAATACCTGAAAAGAAAATGAATATTGTCAGATATGATAAGCAGGCTTTTTTTGATCATACAGGAATTTCTGGCCAGCAAAATGAAGCTTATAATTCACCTGCTGAGTATCTTGTGTTAAAGCATATTGCTTACAAGATACTTTATTTCCTTTTGTTCATTGTATTTTGTGTAACATTGTATCATTATGATTTAATTGTCTGCTTTGCACTCTACTTATTTTCATTGTACTGGCTATATTGTGATGGTAGGAGAAACAAAAACTCCATCAAAAAGGAATAGTATGAATATTCCACATTGTATTTAGAATTTATTATCTGAATGTCTATGGAGATTCTCAGTAATCCAGGTCATGGTTGTCTCAAAGGTGCTTTTTTCACGAGGCAACTGGACTTTCGTGTTTTTCTTCAATGACATTTTGCTTCTCAAAGAAAAACAAGAAAGTCCAGTTACCTTGTGAAAAAAGCATCTTTGGGACAAATTATTATCTGCATGTCCCAAAGAGTAACAATGTCTATTCTTAAAACCAAAATAAGATTCCTTTCCTCTTTTCAAATATTGCTTAAAAAGAATGCACATGGAATGCATATGTAATGTATATGCAGCCATTCTATACAGGACCATTCTGTTTGGAACATTAAGTATCTATATGAATCAAGAGTTTCAACTTATATTAAATCTAGCTGCTCTTTCTTAACCCATTATGAAGGTGTGAAGCTTCAGTCTGTTTGGATTTGATCATATTTATTTATTTTGTAGTATAGTCTCATTTTCTGTGAATTTAAAAAAATATAACTACATTTAATAATATAAATTAAACACTTTATTTTTAAAAAAGAAGGAACATGGCAACTGGGCCTGTTAATACAAGAGTTTCCTTTGCTAAACAGTTGGCAATTGACATCACAATGGAAGGATGAGAAGAAGCACTCCCCCTTACTCTTCAGCATAAGTGGCCTAAGAATGTTGCACCCTATTTCTTTATATGAACTATGCACTTGTGTGCCTCCCATTTTTTTCTATTCTGCCATTTGAAGATATTCAATTTTTAAGACGTAGTAACCTAAATCTAAGCTCTCCTTCCTACAGTATTTAAACTCTGTTATTTGATCATATTCTTAATATATTAATACTAATCATGGGCACAATACACTGAAATTTTGATTTATGCATGAATCAGTACAATCGGTGAGAACTATAAATCACAAGGAATGTACTTCACTTGCTAAATCTATTAAATCTTATTGTCCATCTTCCGCAATCTGGCTCCTTACAGATACACTGGATTTACAAATTCTTAGCTAATATGACCAAAGGTTGGCTAGAAATTCTACAAAGTACCAAGTTGGGAAATGCTGATCTACTGCTCTAATTTGTGGGTGAGTGGGAGAACTCTGATACAGATTTCATGATCTGCTTTTTTTCCAAGGTAATGAGCTATATAATGAATAACATTAATATCAGCACTCTGTCAGCTGTAGAATGCAAAGTAATTGTAATGTATATGTAAAAAAATATAAAATTAACCAAGAAAACCAGGCTCCCATTCTTATCACAGAATTAATAGAGACTGATACACACTAAAGGATACAAACTGGAGCCTTGCTGTTTTCATTTGTTTGTATTTTTGTAAATGAAGACTGTGTGATTTTCTCTCCCCCCCCCCTGCATTATTCCAGTTAGTTGTTTTGAATCATATTATTTAGATTATGTTACATAGAAAAAGCAAGCCCAATGAAATTTAATAATACCAATAAAGTTTGAATGTTTTGGTTGCATTTGAATATTTCAAATTCCCAAATAAAAATAATGAAATACTGTATAACAATTGTGCTATATCCTATACAGCTATGGAAGATTAATTTTGATCAATATTGACAGTTTGGACCTCCCAGCTGGTAACTAATAAAGAATTTTCATAGCACTCATTCACTTTTTTAAAATTAATTTTTAATTATCTAGTTATCTTGATTCTTTGAAGACATAAAGTAATGGAATGTAAGGAAAATAATATTGTGACCTTTCCTCTCTACAATCTATAAACTACAACATCTTTAGTACAGCATTTCTAACCTAGTAGTTAAGTTCCTGTTTGTACAAGCTTATCTCCTATTAAAGATGCAGTTTTATGTCATCTGGAGGAAAATGTCCTAAATGCAAACAATTTAGAGTCAAATCATTATTTTAGCTTATTCTTATAGATTTGTGTAGAAATGTTTAACTAGAAGACATTGTGCAAAATGTATAGTGAGGCAGAGATGGAATATTGTATAGATGGTATCTTCACTGTCACGAAATACACTCCAAAATGGATTCTGACTCGAGTTTGATTGGCTCAAGTTTTCCTACATATAATCTTTAAGAGTGTCTGCATCAGCTTCACAAATCACCTCATTAGTCCATAGAATAATCAAATATTTTATAAGATTCAAACCTAGCACCTAAAAATTTTTCAGAGGGCTTTAAAACAGAATTCTTATATTTTTCTATTGTTTTATAATACTATTATGTATCATATCATATTGTTACATACAGTAAAAACAACAGGACCTAAGAAGCCTCCATCAGTTCACTAGGATTTGCCTAGCTGGAGTCCAACTGCACATGAGTTCAAGTGTCTTTATCCATTGTTTAGAATATTTCTCATAACAATTGTGCAAATAATTTACTGCCCAACATAACCTCCCTTTTATTGCTAATCTATAATTGAGCCATAGCCAATAATGGTCTTTTGTCTCTACCAAAGAAAATGGATGCTGTGCTAAGGCATGTCATAATACTGTCAATAGGTACCTATTTTGAAGGAAGACTTTTAATTATGTCAAGTATGAAAAACAAGAGATGCCTTGTCAGGTTCTCTGTATGTTATGTGATAAATTACCATTCACCTTTCTGTATTCCTGATACACTGAAACATCTTTATTCAGGGGCATTTGGCTTTGAAAGACCTCTGCAACAAAGTGAAGCAAATGATCAAATTTGGAATCATTAGCCCTATGCAAAAAGTCCTTGCATGCACAGAACAGATATAGTAGTAAGATCTAGGAATTATGCAGCCTGATCTGCATCCACATATATTTTTTTTTAATTTGTACTTGCAGTATTTAGAAACAGAGTAATATGTAATAATAGATTTTGCAATAATAGATTTTGATTTTTTCCTAAATTTGTCTCTCATTTTGAAACCTGGGGGGAAGTATTTTAAAAGTTAAAAATACGAAATTTAAAGAATCATTTGGATATAGATCAAAAGCTGAAGGAGAGAAGAGTGCATCTAATGTTCTACAAGGAGCATTGAGCCTTCAAGAGCGACTAGCATGAGAGCATGTCTAAAAGCCAAATTTAGGGAAGGCTATACTTTCTCCCTTTCACATGATAGCTCAAAACTATCTTGCCATTTCTGTCCTGCAGCTTTGACCTTTACTTAAATCAAATGTTGAAATGCATTGTAAAGGCCAAGAATAACAACAGTCTGTGTTACTAATTTGATACTGTGCATGCTGCTACAGAAAATAAGTGTTCAGACAAAATGGTGCATTTAGGTTAAAATTATTGAGGATCATAAGCCTTAAAAGTGCAAGAAATTCAACACTAGCAAATGCTGCCATGACCTTTCAAACTGATATGGTTGAATGACCACCTGCAGCTGTATGTCAAGGCATAAGGGATGCAAATACACAAGCAAGCACAGAATGCTGTATAAGTCTGTTGCAAAACATAACAGAGGCTTATAGGGTAACAGTGGATGGCTTCAGATCTTACTTTTTCCTCTTATTATCAGTGCATGTTTCATTTTCTACATTCCAACCAGCTAACTTTATAGTGTTTTTTTTTACAAATCAATCCCTAATATTTTGGGTTTTCTTTTTCAAATTAACCCTTAATATTTTCATCTATTTCAAAGAAGCCACACTCCATTAAACCTCCCCCCACATCTTATTCTTAATTTCTGAGACATCGCATTCATAGGAAATTTTCATATGTGCAATCTTTAGACCATAAATATAGCAAATGAAGCTTCTCTCTTGTCTTGGGACATACAAAAAACCACAGCAGCATCAGGCTTAAGAAGTTACAACAGTTACTGAATTAAATTTCAGCCAACTGTTAATTCTGCTAAATATTGAACACATCCCTTTTTTGACTTCTATTAAAATATGTTTTTAAAGAAAATTTATTATTGAAATACAACTGTGAATATCAAGAAACATATTTTAATAGAAGTCAAAAAGGGGATGTGTTCAATATTTAGTAGAATTAACAGCAATTGCTGGCTTCCTAGTTATGAATGCTCATTAAACAACTTTAGCTGTTCACCCTAAAAAAATGTTAGAAGCAAAACTGTATTTAAAACTAACAACCAGAGCAAAGTTTTGGTGTTAAAGGCAATAGATGAACATCAAATGAAAAAGAAATAAAATAAGTTACTCTTATTTGTTTTCTGGTTTATTTAAACAGCAAGAAAGAAGGATTTCAAGAGCTATGTTTAAATGACAAGAAGTGTTTTTTGTCTAGAACAGTGTTTATCAGCATTAGCAATTTTAAGATATATGGACTTCATTGCCCAGAATTCCTCAGACAACACAGCTGATTGAGGAATTCTGAGAAAGAGTTAAAGTTTTCTTATCTTAAAATCACCAAGGTTGAGAAACACTGGTTTAGAGCAAACAGGAGCAATCCTATTTCTCTCAAAACCAATTCTCAGTCACTGCATGCAGCTATTCTATAACTATAATATGGAGATTAAAACATGTATATACATATAAAAAAGGCTTTGGGAAAAATGCAGCTCTGCCCTTTGCTGTCATTTTTGTACAATGTGCTATGTAACGCCATAGTGCCATGTAACACCATAGCAACATTAACATGTTTGCTTGGATTTATATAACATAATCTTTGTTTGTAGGATAGATATATGAAGAAAAAGTAGCTTCAAATGGAACCAGTATGTGGTGTAGTCAAGTGTAGACAGATTCTGGTCAAAGCTCAACCCATTCATTTTGTACACTACTCAAATATAGTCTTCTTTCGAGAATTATTTAGCTCCTTGATATCTGTCAACAAATCAAAAACCTGGCATCGTTACTTTGTGCTCGTAATTAAGATCTTACTGAATACAGTGCTCAGGAAGGGTGTACATAGAAGAAAGTAATCAAAAAAGACCCATAAAAATATGTACAGTGTATTTAATTATAACATTTAAAATAAAACATATACGCCATATAAGAAAATACTTGCAGTATTGTAGTATTTTCCGGAATCAACTGTGCTGATATAATAACAAGAAGAGAAGACTTTGAGTGCATTTGACACTGCTGTTTGTGTGTATCC